GACAAAAGATGATTTTTAAAAAAATAAAATCTCATTTTGATTTTCTCTAAAAATATTCTTATTTTGGTAGTAGAAAACGCTATGTTATAGTAATTTTATATTACGTTACAATCTTTTTAATAATACTAAAAAGATATTATAAAATAATAAAAAAATGTTATATTAATTTTATATTATGTTTAATATTTTTCTAATGTTACTGTAAGCACTATAACATAGCATAAAAATACTGTAAATATATAGGTTAATCGATTCATACCTAAAAAAAAGAGAAAAAGTGATAGATTGCTTATATTATTCTACATACTAAAATAATAATATTGTTCAATAATTCTAAAAATAAGAATACTTCATGGGAATAACCTAAAAGGAAAAATTGTTTTTTTAGGAATTTTCCCAATGATAAAGATAGGATTAGATTCCAAAACTTTTTAATTTATAAAGTAAAATACGATAATATCTGAACAATGTTAGGTGTTAAAAATATTATTATTAATCTACTTTACAAGTAATCTTTTCACCTAAAATTCTTATCCGCTTCTTCGTGACAACACTCTCAATTTACATAAAGAAAATATTCATAGAGACATAAGATATCAATACATAAAGAGTATACGTGAAGCCTTATTATAGTAGTCACTGAATACAAAAATTAGTGTTCACTTGATCCAATTCATAGTATACTAACCTAACTTAGGGAGTAGATGAGTCAATGAAACGAATTTAGTGGGTCAAGAACTCTAAATAGTTGTAAGACTTGGATATGTTAGCACCTCTACAACTTTAACCCTATGATATCATTTTATGACATTATCTAGAGCAAGCAACTAAATAAGTTTTGAGGCATTAAATTACGCTACTATTTTGAGTGGACTTCCATCAACATCTCCCTCTCGTTGTCACAGTAATTCCTATATAATTTCACAAGAAAGTTTTGAGAGATCTCCAAAAAAAGAGAGGTAAAAAATCATAAAAAGATGAGTCAATGTCTCATTTTATTTGATAAATATTTTGATTGAGTTACTATAAATTCTAAAAAAAATAGATCAGTAGAAAAAGACCTAAAAAAACTTGTTTCTATGATATGATGATAAATATTTTAGTTGGGTTCTTATAAATCCCAAATCAATTTTTTTACCACCTAAGCTAATTAAGATCTTCAAAAATATTCATCTCTATTTAAATTTAAGCAAATGTGAGTCATGAATTTTCTTGTTAGTTATAAATATTCATAAATTTTAGAGAAACTATGATTTTTTTTTAAGTTGTGTATTATTACATTTGATTTATGTAGAATTTATTCATTAATCTATATAAAACCAATTATATATATATATATATATATAATTATTTATCTATTATGAAATCAAAAGTTTTCATTGGTTTATAAAGTAGTCAACTCCCATAAGAACACTAGTTTCAAATCATAGTAAAATTAATGTGATACAAATCATATTAGTGACTTGTCTATACTTCTTAATCATAGAAATGTTAAATGAATTGCACTTATTGCCTCCACACTATCTCAATATGTAAATATGCTTAGATATGCCCATATCAGTCATATTCTTATATTACCTCCACACTATTATGATAGTTAAATCTAAATTATCTATTTAAAATACTTTAAATTAATAATAATAATAATAAATCTATTATATCTTTATAAGTCGATCTTAATCTTAATCCGATGTTACATATTCTTATATAATATCCTATTAAAAGAGCTTTTATGAGACTCTAATTAGAATGCCAATATATGCACAAACAAATAGGAAAGGAAAATAGGAAAAAGGCTGGCTAATATATGCACCTTATTTGATTCATATATAGTAACCATTTTTTATCTTTCTTTTTGGTTTTGGGAAAGTAAGGTTACTACTGAGAGACTGACTGAGTCTGCTTTGAATCGATTAAAGTAAAGGAAGCTGCATCATATTCCTTTGTACCCAAGCCAACATAAATCCAAAAACATGAATGAAAGGCTATTACAAGTCCAAAGACAAGCATTTTGTGTTAGGGAATCGAAGGTTGCCAATTCTTTTCACCTCTCCATCTTCCCCTTGAGGTCAGATGTTGATGACCGTGACTTCCACAGCCACATTAGTCGAACCCCCAACAGTTGCACTATATAGCAAGTCCTCAACGCCATCCTCCATCCTTGTCATCAACCCAAGCCGAGAGAGGAGCCTCACCAGAGAGAGAGAGAGAGAGAGATGGCAGAAGAGTTCCGGCCAGGAACATGCAGTGGAGGAAGCTGGTGGACGGCAGCTGAGTTGGTCGAAGCTAAAGCTCGGTCCTTCGACGAGTCCGCAGGGTCGGCCTGTGGAAGCTCAATCACTTTCCAAGAGACTCATAAGATGCAACACCCCGACGGTGGACTCTCGCCTTCTTCCATGACTTGGACTCAAGCTTTGCTGTATGTCTCTGGCGCATGCTTCATCTCTGGATTCTCCTAGGTTTGTTTGTTGTTGCTGTTGTTGTTGTTGATCGTATGTGATTTGATGAAATAGGAACGGTGCCATGCCGCAAGAGGATCTCGGTTCGAGACCTACAGGCGGTGAGAGCTCGACATCGAATCCATACGGTGACATGAACCAGAACTTGTTGTTGCAGCAGCAACATCATTTGAGCGATGTTGGTGGCGGCTATCAGATCATCACTCCCGCCTCCTATGCAAGCTCGTCGATGATGTTGCAAGATCTACTTGAATCCGAGACGAAGCAGCAGCAGTTTATCTATGACGGTCGAGTGAGGAATCAGTACCAGTCTCCAATGTCCGCCGATGGGGGAAGCTCAGACGAGCTATGGCAGCCTTCATGGCTTTCCCACCTGCTAAAATCCTCGCTGTCCAACAACACACCCTTATGGAATGCCTCCGCCAGTGATATGAGGCCAGTTTTCCGTTCTCCGACGCCTTCCAAGTATGTCATGCAGCCATCGGAGCCCAAAATTGTTTGCGGTAGCACGCTCACAGCTAAGGTATACATCATCATCATGTTCTTTTGTTCTGATCATTAGGGTTTTGGAGCCTCAGTGGATTATGCCATCTTTCTCAAAGCAGATGGAGTCATCAGGAGGAGATCGAGACTCATGTTCTTCCTCGACCAAGAAAACTGGAAGCGAGGCTGCAACCAAAAAGCCCCGGATAGAGACGCATTCGCCATTACCGACTTTTAAGGTGTGGTTAGAGTCATGGGGACTTGGATCGATGATACATGATCTTTTGCTTTGGTAGCTTGTCTTTTTACATGTATGATAGCTTTTGGATTGCATGCTTACAGGTGAGGAAAGAGAAACTAGGGGACAGAATCACTGCTCTCCAGCAACTAGTTTCACCTTTTGGAAAGGTGAGGTCTCTTTTCTTTTGATCTTCTTTTCCTTACAATGCTTCTTTACGAGCATTGCTCGCTACAGTCTTCCTTTCAGATGATCGAATCTCTCCCTCACTTTTCATGATCGAACTGCTTTCTCTTTCTTTGTGACAGACTGATACTGCCTCGGTTCTCCAAGAAGCCATTGAATACATTAAGTTCCTTCATGACCAAGTCGGTGTAAGTCCATCGAGTGTTTCTCATGAGATCTATTCCAACATCCATTTGCAGCGATTAAATATCTGTCACTGATTGTAGGTTCTAAGCAGTCCCTACTTTAAAAATGGGCAGCCCATGAAGCCAAAACAGGTACTATCTTGTCTTTGCTACTGTGTCAGTGAGGGATCTTACAACACAAACGCAATGTGTTAATGCAGATACCTGAGGAATCCAAGGATTGCGATGAACCGAAGCAAGACCTTAGAAGCCGAGGACTGTGTCTGGTTCCTGTCACGAGTACGTACCCGGTGGCAAGCGAGACCACAACTGACTTCTGGCACCCTACGCTCGGAGGAACCTTCAGATAGAGAACAGCTACAGGGTTCTGAAGAGAGATAGGAGGATGAAGCCTCTCTCTGAGCAACAACGTCTCGCACTTGCATGCAAGGAAAGATAAGAACTGCAGTGTGCTCTTAATTAGGACCTCTATAGCAGTATGGAAAGAGAAACAGCTCCATTAAGAGAAGATACAGCAAGAAGTGACCTTATTGGCCCAGCTACATGGAGAACAGAGTGAGAAGCTGACCATCAAAAAGAGAGAGAGAGAGAGAGAGTGTGTGTGTGTGTGTGTGTGTGTGATCATAACAATATAGTATTTTATGAGAGGGTGGACAAGAAATAGGAACAGGTGCTTGCTGAATTTAGCAGAAGGGAATGAGGAGGGGTGGATGGGAAAAGGATGGTGGGTTTTGTTCCTGTTTGAGGTGTTCACAGTTTTCTTTTCATATAGAAAAGAAATTGAACAGCATTAAGGAATAATTGAGATGAGGGATATATAGGGGCATGTGTGTGCCCTTTTTTGTTCTGGGGATCCTAACTTTTGATTGATTTGAATGCTCTCATGGAGGGGAGAGGTGATGATGGCCCCCCTTCCAATCTCACTCTTCCTTTTGACTATGATCATGCTGGATTTTAAGGGTTGGAAAACCATTTTATTCTTTGGCAGAAGCACACAGTTGCATGTATTTTATATTCTGTAGATATACATGTGCTGACGTGAAAAACTTACTGCTGCTTCCTGACCTCAAAAACATGTTGAGAAGGCAATGATGAAACTTTTGTAATGAAACAAACAATACAAGCTTTTGGTGTTTGCTCAATATTTTTGTGAGATGTGATATCATGATGATTCTCTCTATCTTGCACTCATGGAAGGGCTGGGTGCCATGGATGTTGGTTTGCCATTTGTCTACCAGGCAGTGTGTCCTTTTCTTTATTATGCTCTTTCCTGATACAAACCAGCAGTATGATCATTGATCTTAAGGTTATAGAAAGGATTCATGTTCAGATTGTAGCTTTTTCTTTTGTGGTGCTCTGTTATTAGTGGCTTTGATATGAGATCTGAACCAGAGGAAGCTGAGTGAAGGCATGTAGGAAAGCATGAAGATTTCTGAGATTGGCTAAATGTGAAGGTAAAGCAATTGAGTTTGCTTGATAGCATATTGCTTTGTTTGTCTTTGGAGTATGACAAGTTTTGTAGCATATGAGTTGCATTATGGCATCTCGATCGTTCCTACAAGTCTCAATCAGAAACAACCTAATTTACAGTAGAAGAGAATATGTTTCATCGACCTGCAATTGTCACACTAATTTCCTTGGAAGAGAGGTCTCCATCACTGCTTGCCAATGTGATGGTGGGCTGTTTCAGTGGAGTCAACTGTTGGTCTTCACTAGCCAACATCATGACCACCTCTGCCATTGTTGGCCTGTCTTCACTGTGTTCTTGCACACACAAAAGACCCATTCGGATGCAACGAAGAATCTCCGTTGCAGGATACGAGCAATCGAGTGCATCATCAAGAATCTCCAAGGATCTACCTTCCTTCCACAGTTTGTATGCCTGCAGAGACATGTTCATGAAGAAATCAAACACTGAATTGGAAGCAACATTTAGGAACACTGAAGGTAAAAGCATTCACTGAGGTACTTACATGTCCTAAAAGATTCAAACGGACGTTTGCCTGATTGAACACCCTGTTCCTCTTACCACTCAAGATTTCCAGTACTATAACACCGAAGCTGAATACATCGGATTTGAATGAAAAGATTCCACTCGATAAATACTCGGGCGCCATGTATCCACTGCATGTAAGAAATCAACAAGAATTAGGATGTTCTATGATAGCAATCCATTTAGTACAGTTCTTTTAACTGTAAAACTTACAATGTTCCAACTGGTCTTGTGGTTGCATTCTCATGTCCTTCGTCTCTCTCAAATATTCTTGCTATGCCAAAGTCTGATATTTTTGGATTCATGTCCTTGTCAAGGAGGATGTTGCTCGGCTTGAGATCTCGATGAATTACCCTCAAGTTAGAGTCTTGATGCAGGTACAGAAGTCCTCGAGCAATCCCAACAATAATGTCGAGCCGCTTTTGCCAATTTAGCAGCACACTTTTTGTTTTATCTAGCAACAATTTTGATATGATCAGAGTGATGAAAAGTTTTAATTATTTTGCTCTACGCATGTATGCATAAATGAAATCTACCCGGTCCAGATTTTCCGTAAAAGGAAGAAAGGATAATTTTCTATATTCTATATCACAAATTTCTACTCTTTACTCAGCAATACAAACAGAGAAGTGATACAGAAACATTTTGAGAGTCTAAGAGTAAATGAATATGATACTAAATATTTCAAGAAGTTTTGTCTGAGCCAATTCAATTATTACAGGAAGATGATATGCCCATGTTCATTAGAGTTGTGACATTGCACAAAGATCTGAAAAAAATAAAATAGATTTTCCTAATCTATGCAGAAAGAAAGGATTAATTTCATATACTGTCCAACCAATTATGAACACCAAGAAAATGAGGCATAGATACTGACCATATATAAAGGCATCTAAACTCCCGTTTTCCATGTATTCTAAGACCAGAAGTCGCTCATCTCCTTCAATGCAAGAGCCAAGAAGGCGCACGAGGTTTCTGTGCTGTAAGTTGGCAATCAGTGTGAGCTCATTCTTGAACTCATCCGGGCCCTGTGATGAGTGCCTTGACAATTTCTTGACAGCAATCGTTTGTCCATCTTGAAACTGACCCTGCAGAGTGTTCCATGCAGTGTTTGCTTTATAGATTTTGGATGAAAGATTGCATTGCTGTAATGCTAAAAGGTTACCTTGTAAACAGCACCAAATCCACCTTCCCCAAGTTTGTTAGCAGCTGAGAAATTATTTGTTGCAGCTTTTATTGTAGCCAAATCATAGGAAGACAATGTCCCCAATAGATTTACTGAAGCTGGCACAAATTATTTACAGATTAGGAGCCTGAAACAAGAAAGACCTAACCTATTGCAACCTTAGTTGACAAAGAAAAGAAAGTCAACTGAGAACCAAACTTTGTTTCTTGGATCTATTGATATGGATACGGAAGCTCGACATTGGCACAATGTGAAGTAGAATTCTATTGTTACTAGATCTACAATTCTTACCAGTATTATGTGCCAATTGTATTATAAATCTCAGATTTTGTATGTGATGGTTTGATATCTCTCATGCATCAGTAAGGCAAGTGTTGAGGAGTGAATGATGCCCACCTGCTCTCTCATTATTTAGATTAGCATTCTCGGAGTTGATCATGATCGATCTCCAATGCTGCTCTGATGTATCAAAATCTGTCCTCGGTAACTGCTGTAGACTCTCACAACCTGATGAGTTACTTTGACCAAAAAGGTCATCTGTGAAACACCATGATCAAAGAGATCAGTAAAAATGTTTTAATAACCATATTGCAATTCAATGTCTTAGAGATTCGTGAGTAGAAGATGTAATTGTAGACAGTGATCCCGCTTCTCAAGCAGCAAAACATTGAACTGTGAACTGTGATCACCTGAATGTTCAATGATCGGTTTCTGGCTCATGTCCTATGCTGTTTGTCTTTAGAAAGGTTGGCATTACATATTGGTATAGACTATAATCTATCAGAATTGCTAAACATCTAAGATTTAGAATTTTGTTGCCAGTTGTTTGCAATTCTTACATGACTTTAGCTTTTCAAACAAAATCTTGTTAGGTACTGAACAAAAATTAGCTTTTGTGAATCTGATCTCCTAAGGAACAGAGTGAGAAACAAAGGTTTTCTTCTTCTGCTTTCTTTATCATTATATTCAATTTTTCCAGAATAATGAAGCTATCTGTCCACTGCGTCATCTTCGTAATCCTCAAGATTAGAAGATGCTAATCTTTAAAAGATCTTTCAGCTAAGCTAACAGTTTACAATCAACTGCAACATCATTAGAAATGATTAAGCGTAATCCTGCTGTGATCTTTCAAAATCTAGGCTTTTCAGAAGCTTAATATGTTTGTATTATGATAGCCTCTCAAAGCTGCTATGTGTAAATTAGCAAATTGGCATCATTTGTTTAAACAAATTTAGGATGTAAAATTGATAATTGACTTAAGAGTATTATCGACTCTAAAATTTTCTCAACATGAAACATCAACCAAAAGCCAAGTACCTTTGTCCATCACCTTCGGTAAGTCCAACAGTAAGCCGGTTTCCTTCACCGAGGACTCAGTATCAGTTCCAAGAATGCCTGAGAACCATGACGACACCTCATTCAAAAAAGAAAGATTCTAAAAGCTAACATTTTGAGTGATGCATAGTTCTACTGAAATTGCAGTACAATCCCTAATATTCTAGTGTATGCAGAAAAGAAAACCATGTAATTTTAGTAGAAGTTTGTACAAGTGACTACATGCTCCATCAGATGTTAGCAGAACAGATGAAGAAGACAGTACCTTGTTTCTTTCCTCTCTTCCTCCACCATAAGAGCAGACCTAGACAACACAGTAGAAGAAAGCCCAGCAATAGAGGAAGACCTATGGCCAATTCACGAGCATTGCTCCTTGAAGACTCTACAGATATTTCTGACATGAGAAATCTAGTGTTGTATATGATTATAATGAATTAAACAGGATCACTTTACTAGCCATCCAGAAGTAATGAAAATTTCATTTCTTTAGGTCTATTTCCTTTACAAAAGAAAGTTAGCCACCATATAAATATGATTAATCCAAAGGATTTTTCAGAAGAAAAAACAACTGTAGCTTAAGCTCACTGATTGTTAAGATCACAAGGCATGGGGCTGTGTTTTGCTACTGATTCATGGATCCAATACTACCTCAGAGAGAGACTCAATGCACTTACCAGACTCAGAAGCAGCAAGTCGAACATATAGGTCATCCCCTCCACTAATGAAGCTTCTGAGATCCACCAAGTCGCCACTCCAAGTCACACAGCCATTAAGGCCAGCCATAGCATATGCCAAGCAAGAACAGTTCTTGGAACACCAGTCTTCGCACGCGGCCAGAGTGCTCTTAGAGCTGTCCGTAGTGGCGTTCTCGGTGTCAGGCAGCTTGATGCTTTGCACCTTCCAAAACCTGTCCGATGAACAGCTTAAAGGTGTCGTCCTCTCACATCCAAGACTGCCTTTGTCTTCAAATCCTTTGATGCAATTGCAAGAATAGCTGTAGTATTCTTTGGTGCAAATGCTATTGGATCCACATCTAGCATAGTGATCGCATTCGTCTTCCGGCACATACCAGAAATTGCTCCAGCTTCCTCCATCCCAATTCCATCGCTCAAAACGCCCGGTGGCATTCATCACTGCTCGTGACAGAAGAGAATTGTTCTTGTATTCGGTCGTGTAGTAGACCCCGTTCTGGTTTGAGACGAATGAGAAGTTCAACTTGTTCGATATATTACTGTCTTCCATTTTAGGATTTCCGCTGAATCCTTGGTTCGTCCACGGCCCAGTGCGATAGGTTTTCTTGGATGAACTCCATATAGAGATCTCAGGAACACCACGAGTCTCCATTTTGAAGGCGTAGTCACCTGGAGAAGGGTCGGTGGGACTCTTCCATGACACGAGCTGCCTAGAAATGTTGGCGTTGTAATCCACTCCAAGCTTCATGCCGGGTAGAAGAGTGTCGCACGGATGATCGAAGCTCTGCCATAGTGGACTGTTTGACTTGCCTGCGATCAGCACAAGATTTCCAGAGTCCAAAAGCTGCAAGACAGGATTAATTGCTCTCGAGGTGCCTGTGGACCATATGATGATCCCGTTGTCGAACAGGCTTAAAGTTCCATCAGCAGTCAGATTCATCGTTGCAGTGGAGAGGTTGAGAGGCTTGTTCCTGTTGGCAACCCATACTACACTGGGATCTGCGAGGTTGTAGTACCGGATTCCTAGGTATCCATTCCCTGAACCAGAGGAGTTGAAGAAGCCAAGCTGAAACACCCCTCCTGCGGAGATCAAGGTCTGGTTGCTGGCAATTGTGCCGTTTGCAGCCAATCTATCTCCTGCAAAAGAATTCATTCTATTATTCAGCTGTATGTCAGTCACAGTAATCCTTCTCCTTTCCTCTCTCATGATCGTGAGGATCCCCTGGCTACACAAATGAAAGAAAGACTCATTTGATTTATGAACATGAATCAAACTGAACAGAGCATGATCCCCGTGCTGATGCACAAGTCCTCATTACAATCATGGATTATTAGGGCTGAATTCTAGAGGAAGTTTCCGTACATACCAGCTGACTGACCAAGAACAGCTGCTGCTGCTGCTGCTGCAAGTGCTTCTACTAACAGAAAGAGCTGCAATTTCGCCATGGATGTCTATCTTCATGCAGCAGCAGTCAAGTTTACAGGGAGCTGCACTGCTGTTGATATCTTGGCTCATAGATCACATCTAATGCTGTGGAAACTCTCATTTACTCGTCACATATATATGACCAAGTCGAACCACGGGGGGACGCTAGTCAACGGCGTCGTCTCCACCGAGAAGAATGGTCGCCTGATGAAGTGATGCATGCATACTTGGTCAAACAATCCATGCCTAACTTATGCTTGCATCAATCATCAATCTGAGTTCCCAACTCAGTCGACAGTCCGAGGTCAGTTGTGTTTGATCTTGCCAATAAACATATGAGAAGATGGCAAAGACGCGTGAAGAGAATTCAACTGAGCTGTGACCAATGAAATGGTTGGAATGATTCTTCCATGTTAGCTTGTAGAAGGAAAAATATTAGAGCATGAGTAGTATGATAACGTAGCATATACTTTAAAGAACTTGTCCTGATATCATTATGTTTGAAGATGGAGACTTCAAGGAGACAAATCTGAAAGGAGGAAGAAGAAGACTCCAGGAAAGGCAATGGTTAGCCATAATTAGTCGAAGGGGACTCCCTTCTATGGTCAATGTTTGGCCAATATAGTCACTGAGGCACGCCAATCTACTTCAATTCAATTCTCTCTCTCCGTAGCACACAAACAAAACAGGAAGAAAGGATTCCTGGTGGTGTTGGGGATCAAATGGAAGAGTCAGTAGTGATCATGGTGGTGGTTGGCAGCTAACTTGGGCGTTGTGGACATTCATGGCGATTATTTTGGTTAATCATAGCCACGATTCTGAATCGGAGAACCTACTTTGAATTGTCTTCTTCTTCTTCTTCTTCTTCTTCTTCTCTTTACCCTAACAATGGTGGATTTGTTGCAGTGTTCTGACACAAGTACTGCCAAGATATTGATGAGGTTTGCTGACAGCGACAGCCATAACATGAAATCATAACCAACGATGATTGCTGCAGTCAATCGTTCAACTGTCGAGGTAATCTTGTGAAGACATCCGAGTTCTATGCTACTGTCGTCTTTCCAAATGGGGCAAAGCCTGTCATGGGCTAAGCCTTGTGATGATGAAATGGGCTGATCCTTGTCCGATGACCAGCCCACTTAGAGAGAGCTACAAGCGTGAACTTTTATGGGCCGAAACCAATCGAGCTTCCTACTAAGATCTCGTTTCAACGGTGCCACACGAAAGCCCTAAATCTCAGATCAAGGTTTGTAGAATCGGCACTTTTCGGAGACCCATCGCCGGAGCGCTCTCCTCTTTTCCCCCACCGTTGCACCTCGAATTCACTCACACATCGCTCTTTCGTCATCCCTAACCTGCGGCCGGAGAAGAACCCTCTTTTCACTCGATCGGCGGGTTTCGCTGCCCTTTACATCTCCCTTGGGAATTGATTGCAGCAAGTCCACCCGTCACCCTCGGCCGTCGTGGCGCCACATCCCTCCAAATAGCAGGTAACGGGCGCGTGACCAAGGATATATTCCGCTGGCGGTCGGCGACGTTCTCCGGATTTGCTTTTGGTAGAGGGGTTTTCTCTTTCAATCTTATCATCGTCAAGGTTTGCTCCCTTTCTTTCCCTGAATTTTTTGCTTGCTTTTCTTTCCACATATTATTTACCGAAAAATACCATTTTTCTTTAATTATCTTGAATGTGTTGTTATTCTGCTCATCTTAAAGAATATGGATTTATGAATGTGTAAGATGAAGGAATGAGAGCTAATGTATATATCATGTGCAACATGAATTACCGTATCAATAGAAAGATTTTCATTTTCCTGCTGGATTGGATTATGGATGATTCCCTGTGTTTGCCTTGTCAAAGTTGCCCTAAGAATTATGCTAAGACTTATATTGCTACTCCGTTAAGTTTAAAATTAGAGTCTATTGTGGATTACATTCAGAAACAGGCCCTACCAATTGCAGGATGGAATTGTTTTTCTTTTTTCCCAAAACGAGCTGTGGAAATAACCATGTGCAGGCATAGTGAGGAACATCAGACCATTAAATGAGGTTTGCTGGTTGAGACAATCGTGTTCCTTTTTAGTGTTTATTCAAGGATATACCACATAGCAAAATGAATGCTATCCTGCATGAAAAGCAGTTTCTTCTTTTTCAAAAACTTTTTAAGGACACAGTAGTCAAATTGTAGCATTAAATAAAAACTTGATCACATCCTTTTCATTTTCACTCCTTGAAGGATTACTGATAATCTTATCTAGCAAGTTAATTGGATTTAAAAGAGGAAATTCATCTTTGAAATGAATGCTGATCAGCTGATTAATGAACTTCCATTTCCTGAAACTGAAAGCTGAAATTCAGCTTGCTGAATCAAAATAACGAATGGCCATATGTTGTAGTTTTGATGCCTAGTTTAGACAGATTTCAGAAAGTAAGACCTGTTATCTTAATTGGTTTCAGTGTTGTTCTTTTGCTTGGTTTCATTAGTGTCAAAATCCCTAAATTATGTGCCCCAACTTGTTTGAGGACATTGTTTGTGTCACATTTTTTATGTTTTTATTTTTTGTAATCTTTAGACGACTAAAAACAATATGAAGTTTTATGCAATCTACATACCTAGTTCTCGTATTGATCTGTTTTATGATGATATATGTATATGGTGGAACCTAGAGCTATTCTTCACTTATTTATTATGCAACTTTTTATTACTTTTTTTGTTTGCTCTATTTTTGTGGTACAATGCAATGCGACTTTCAAGCGGTACTTTGTTTCTTTTGTTATTTGCACTATTTTTGAGCTACAATGTAGTGAAACTCTGAAGTGGCATTGTGTTTCTTTTGATGTTTGTGTTAACTTGTGGTCGAACATAATACAACTTTGGAAACTTCATAATTTACATGTGAAGCGATAACACTAAGAGAATTGAATTGCACATAGTCAAGAAGGATGGGTTAGTATATTCAGAAAAGTTAATGTACATGTAGGGCATATTTAACCATTGTTTACCTTCCAGGTGGTTGGTCAGTTCGGTGCATGTTTGTGATTGACTCTTTAGAAAACCACAGAATATTAGGGAGTTTAAGCACATTAGCAAGAAAACCCTATTATATAATATATCAAGTTTACAAAATCATGGATAAGGGTCCAACTTTTGTAGCAATTATAATAGTTTGTTCTTTAGAGGTTATGCCTCCATCAGCATGGAATTTTCCTATGAAGCATCTGAATTACTTATCCATTATTTAAATTAAATGCCTTGTGTGCTATCATCCTTTGTTGAGTGCATCACCGGTAATGAACTAAATCTTAGTGCTATAATCTATAGAATATTGAAATTATGGCTTTTTTTCTAAATTAAAACGCTAAACTAAACCCCTGCACCAGTGGGGAGCATTATTTTTGGGACACATCCTATTTTAACTGCATGCTTGTGTATATCAGGGATGATGGTGTGCTAATCCAAAGATGGCGAAAGCCTTCTTGTCTTACATAATATCATGTCTTCTTGAACACAATTTAGTTGGTGCAAGTGCATCTAATTTCTTGTTTATGGTTATATTGCATGTGATGTGGTCACTTGATTTAACTGCATGCTTGTGTAGATCATGGATGACATCCTGTGCCTTCATGTCTTATGTGATATCATGATTTATTGAACACAATTTACTGGATTTAAGTGCATGCAATTTCTTGTTTGTGGTTTTATTTCATGTGATGTGTTTAATTGATTGTTTGTTTCTTACATCTTTAATAAGTCAGTTGCTGTTTAGTCTTAAATTATCATACTATCTATTTGATCTAACTTAAAAGTTGTGCATGTTACAGGAAAGCTTCAAGCTGCAATGCACCGTGTGGCCAGTGCTGGTAACACTTCCAATTCAACACGTCCTAGAAAGGAGAAGCGCCTAACATATGTTCTGAATGATGCAGATAACACAAAGGTAATTACATTTCTGATTCTTGATATATTTCTGACCAGTGCCTTTGTATATGATGATGGTGCCTTTGTGTTTCAAGATTATTTTTGTAAGTTTGTCACCAGACATATTACATTTTATTTCAATTTTTGTCCTCGGATGCAGCATTGTGCAGGCATTAACTGTTTGGCCATTCTAAACTCTGCAACTCCCAATGGTTGTGATCATCTCTTTACTGGGAGCAGAGATGGGACACTGAAAAGATGGGCTCTGAGTGATAATGATGCTACCTGTTCGGCAACATTTGAATCACATGTTGATTGGGTATTTTTCAGTGCCAGAATTTATTTCTATTTTATAGTTCAATTGGATCTTTCTTTTCTTCTCTTGTTTTCCCTGTAACCCCCTGGAATTTCTAACATGCTGAAGAGTGTTCAGGTAACAGGAGACTTTTAGTGGAAGCCTAGGATTCGAGAGGGCATATTATCTGTTTTCAATTGATTAGCCAATCTTACCCTCATAAAGTTCTGCTGCTTATTCTGGTTCCAAATAGAACAATTGTGTAGCATTAAAAATTTGCACAAGCAAGTGAAATGTGCAACAGATGTTAAAAACCTGACCACAATAAGCTGAAAAAAAGTAATTTTAATTATGTAGAGATTTACACCTTAGTAGTGTTTGATTATAGAAACTACATAAGCAATTATACAATACAAATGTAATCTAAATAAATTGTCAGAATAAAAAATATAAATTGGAGATATGTAAGATATGTCATGCTCTACAACATCAGACTTTGAAGAGAATGCTACAGATCTACAAAAGGTAGTAGAACTATAAGAGCATTCAATTTGAAGAGAGTCTCCAATAGTTGCTGCCTTGAGAGTCCTCTTTCAATTTATTTTCCTATGTCATGGATGAGCATGCATGATTTCTTTTGTTTTTCTATCACCTAGATGAAGTTGAAGTCTATATTGGCCAAGTAACAGAAACTATTTCATGCACAACCAATGTTTATCAGAAATTGTATTTGCAGTTTGCTTGTCATCCAGTCATATGATGAGCTTGTTCATTGCATATTAGAAGTTGCAGCTGAGCCAATAGACTCATCGCTCCTCTTCCTTCGATGGCCCTTCATCCTCCAGCTAAACCTTTATATTAAGATTGTCATTTTTCTATAAATGTTAATATGTTTTAATGTTTAAAAATATTTCTTAGTACTACATATACATTTGAATTAGTATTGATTTTTATTTTTTTTTAATTAAACATGTAATCCGATCAGCTGACCCACTAATCCAGTCAGTGAAACCTAAGGCTCAGTTGGGCTGTTTCCCAATTTGGTTTCAGTAACTATGGTGGTGACACAAACCAAGGACCTAATATCAGGATCCATGCCAATAGATCCATTATCACTGCCCATATAGACATGGCAGTCAATTGCTGCCTTTATTATAACGAGTGATTGTCGGCTTAATCATGCCTTTTTTTTTCACTAAAACTTAGTAATTTGCTAAATAATACATGGCAGCTTCATGCTGGAAGTTATTTTCGGGCAACTTTGGTTATCTTAGTTAATGCACTTGTTATGCAGGTTAATGATGCAGTTCTGGCTGGAAATAATCTTGTTTCCTGTTCCTCTGACACCACTATGAAGGTTCTACACTTCAAAAATATTGTTTTAATCTTTGAAGAAATGACTTTTTGTTAACTCCATCTTTTTTTATCAGATATGGAATCCCTTGTCTGATGGTGTTTGCAGTAGAACTCTTCGACAGCATTCTGACTATGTTACTTGTCTGGCTGCTGCTGAGAAAAATGTAATTATTTATGTTCTCGAGTTCATGTAACAAATAGATTACTTTTTGTTTTCTGTTTGAACAATATGCTGGTATTTCTTTTAGTTTTTTTATTTTTCATGTTGAGATACACTTTATATGTCAAAGTTTCTGATTGTTTTTCTAACATCGCTCGTGTTAGAGCAATATAGTTGCCTCTGGGGGGCTTGGTGCGGAGGTTTTCATATGGGACATTGATGCAGCACTTCTACCACTTGCTAAGACTGTTGATCCAAAAGAAGAAGAACTTCCCAATGGAAATTTGGGACTTCCTTTGTCAAGTTTACGTGGTATGAATACTGGCAACAACATGTCTTTTCATAACAACCAATCCCGTGGATATAGTCCTATTGTTGCCAAAGGCCACAAGGAGTCAGTTTATGCATTGGCAATGAACGATAGTGGGACCTTACTAGTTTCAGGTGGAACTGAAAAGGTACTGATAGATTCTTTGTACTGAATATACTGGTTTTCATGACATTCAGATTGCCAATAATGTGCAGATGTTTCTTATGAGGATTTTTTATGGCTATACTGCTAGATATCATGTATGATGTTTGATTTTACTTTTGATGTTTGTATATGAGATCTTTAATGTACATACTGGCTTTCTGTAGGTTATACGGGTTTGGGATCCAAGAACTGGTTCAAAAAATCTGAAGCTTAGAGGGCATACTGACAATATTAGGGCCTTGCTTCTTGACTCCACGGGCAGGTGTGTAGGTTTCATGTTTTGAATTCAGTATAATGTAAAATTTCTTATTTACTCTATTGTGTTTTTACTCATATATGATTTTTTGCACATGCATTGGCATGTTTCAGTGAGATAGGCATGTGCCTGGCTGGTCTAGTACCAGCACAGTGCTATGCTGAGGCGAGGAAACCCTTCTCAGAAGTTTATATGCATCTCATGGTTTCTTGGAAATATAAATTGAAAAAGAAATCACAGTAAACCAGCTGCGAAATTTGGTCCATGTTGTTTGACACTTGGATCGTAGTTGAATGACGTTCAGTATGGGTGTTGGTCACGTCACTTGTTTACCTTTCTGTTCATTTTCATTTTTGGTTTATCAATACTTCATCATTGTAGTAGGTATGTGACTGTCATATGATTTTCAGCACATGAATAGGCATGTGGCTGGCATGTTTCAGTGAGAGAGGCATGTACTTGGCTGGTCTAGAACCAGCACAGGGCTATGACGAGATGAGGAAACTCTTATCTGAAGTTTATATACATCTCAGTTTTTCCTGGTAATATAAATTGGAAAAGTAAATCACAGTAAACCAGCTGTGGAATCTATTTCATGTTGATCCACATTTGGATCCTAGATAAATAAAGTTTAGCTTTAGGTAGCATTACAAATGCCACTACAGTATGGGCCTTTGTCATGCCCCCTGTTTACCTTTCCATACGTTTTCAATTTTGGCGACTTCTACACTGCATCGTAGTCATATTTTGATTTATTAAACATTAGTATAATTTTCCAATTACTTGCATACTATGTGCTTTGACTTCGATATACTTATTACCACACTTGTATTTATCAGGACTTGTCTATAATGAATTTTTTTGTTGTGTGTCATTGTCATAATTTATAGTGTGCTTGGTGCTCGTAAAGACTTGGTTTGTTAATCTGTTTTGCAGGTTTTGCTTATCAGGGTCGTCCGATTCAATGATCCGGTAACCAATGCCTCTCTCTCTCTCTCTCTCTCTCTCTCTCTCTCTCTCTCATTTCTTATTGATTTATGCACAATCTATCTTTTAATATTGATTTTGTGTTTGGTTTTAATAGCTTAGGCAACATGTGATTTGGAGATAACTTTTCTCTTTATGTATAATTTTTAATGTTGATTTTGTGTTTGGTTTCTTTCGACGTTGATTTCTATCCCTATGCCAGTTCTCCACATGGAATTAGTTAATGTTGTTTAACTAATAGCAATCCTGCAAGTCCTTTCCTTTTTGTGGTTGAGTAGTTGTTTAGTCTATCACATGTTATTTTTTGTAGTCTGTGGGATCTTGGTCAACAACGATGTGTCCATTCTTATGCTGTCCATACAGACTCAGTCTGGGCACTTGCCAGCAATTCAACATTCACACATGTTTATAGTGGTGGGAGGGACCTATCTGTAAGTATAGGAATTCCCCATTCCTTTCTTTTATAAAGATCAACTGTTCTGCATTCTCTAATCTGTTCTATTCCATATGATTCTGTATATGTTAGTTGTACCTGACAGACTTATCAACGAGGGAAAGCCTTTTGCTTTACACAAAAGAACACCCAATTCTACAAATGGCCTTGCAGGATGATAGTATATGGGTTGCAACGACAGATTCTTCTGTACATAGGTTGCCAGCAGAAGGATGTAACCCTCAGAAGGTTTTTCAAAGAGGTGGTTCATTTTTAGCTGGAAATTTGTCATTTACAAGGGCAAGAGCTTCTTTAGAAGGATCTGCTCCTGTAAGCCACACATTGCAATGCATGATATATTGTGATAGGATATTATTTCAAGATAGTCTCCCCTGACTAGTTTGTTTTTTGTCATATTTGGTTATCTTGATTATTTTTCTTTGATTAGGCATTATTAATGTTCAATGCTGTATCTAGGATCTGATCTAGCCATTCACCTACTTTTTGATTGAGCAAATCATTTTTCCCTGACTAGTTTGTTTTTTGTTATATTTGGTTATCTTGATTATTTTTCTTTAATTAGGCATTATTAATGTTCAATGCTGTATCTAGGATCTGATCTAGCCATTCACCTACTTTTTGATTGGGCAAATCAATTTTTCCTGACTAGTTTGTTTTTTGTTACATCTGGTTATCTTGATTATTTTTCTTTAATTAGGCATCATTAATGTTCAATGCTGTATCTAGGATCTGATCTAGCCATTCACCTACTTTTTGATTGGGCAAATCTTTTTTTCCTTTCAAGTCTACAATTTGATGAAATGTGAATTGGACTATACAGATTTTTTATAACTGCACATCCATGTATTTGCTGCTCAGTAGTTGTTGCACTTTCCTGGAATTTAGTCGAACTTTTTTTATTATTCTCTATGAACATTGATCCTGATTTTTATCTTCGTTCTGGCTTTGTAACATGTAAAATCTGACAATTCTCATTGCACACCAGGCCAAATTCATTAGAGATAATTGAGCCAAATTTGGTTGACATCTTTAACAGAAATGTTCAAGGGTGAAAATAATTAGTGGTGTATGTGCAATGAAACTTTTGATGAAGTCCCAGGTTTTCTTGGTTAAATGGTCTTGATTCCTTTTGAAGATAATATCAGTTGTCTAGGATTGTTTAAACTGATAAATCTGTCATGTGTTTTACTAGAGATGGTCAAAACTAACTGAATGGAATAACTATAATGTAAAGTTTTGGCCTCAGCACTTGTGGCTTGAAGTTCTTCATACTAGGGGTCTAAATAGGTTCCCGGGCTCTCGCCTAGGCGCTCAGGTGAGGCGAGGCCTCGCCTCACCTGAGCGCCTCATAGATTCACTAGGCGATGCACTTCAATGAAGCACTGCTTGGGCGCTCCCCTGAACCCAAGCATCGGGCGAGCACTCGATAGAAACCATGCAACCGAACCAGACTATTAAATATGGTTCGGGTGAACAGTAGCTAGTTGGTTCGATTGAACCAACTAAACTACATAAAGTTACTTTATTAGCAAAACCCACCCCTTGCCCCCCCGCGTGACCACGAGCAACCCTAGCGTAGTCGCTGCCTCCGCCATTGATGCTTCCTCTGTTGCCGATGGACGAGTCCGAAGGTGTAGCTTTCAAGCGTAGTTCTCTCCACCATTGTTGCTTTCTTGTGCAACTCCTTCCACTGTTGAGGGAGAGGATCGTAGCTTCTTTCGCCATCAATGGACACATCTGAAACTTCCTTTGCCCACGACGTCGTCGTCCATAGCTTTGGACATCGCCACTATCGTTATCCGAAGCTTTCTTCGTTGCTACTACTACCGTCCACAGTTTCTTCCATCGCCGCTATTGTCATCCTAAGCTTCCTCACTGCTATCATCCGAAGCTTCCTTTGTCGTTGCTGCTGTCGTCCGCAACTTCCTCCGTCATTGCCGCCTTTTGGAACTTTCGAAAGTTTCTCTGTCACCGCTATCCTCTCCTTCCCCACGTTCCACCGTCGATGATTTTTTTCTCCCCTCTAACTACTGCTAACAATAGATTAAATATTGTTAACTACTCTTATCATATAATAGTCCATATTTAGATTTTTAATATTGTTAATCTCTATTTATCAATTTATTATTTTTTTATATTTTAATATTTCATAGCACATCGCTTCGCTCGGGCGAGCGCTTAGTGTCTCGGGCATTTTGAGATCTTGACGCCTAACGCTTTTTAAATCACTGCTTCAAACTCTTGAATGAAGTATTTGATTCATTCTATAGTAAGCTTGTTCAGCGAGGCTTCATTGCCAATCAAGAGTTCTCCCTTTTGCTACAAATTAATTGAATCTTGATTAAAATTGTTATTCTTAGGATAACTTATGAATATGGTGTTTGTGCTTTTCTAATTTTTGCTTCTGCTATAAATTGAATCTTGATTTGTTGTTGCCCTTTGATTAATTTTTTAATATGGTACTTATAATATTATTTGAGGAACCTGAATGCAATTTTCATCAGCACAATAGTTATCTCTGTACGCACCAGTCCAATATGTTCCAGTACAAATAACAGGACAAATTATAAGGAAACTTTGCAAATTGCGAGTTCTCTAGGAATTATTAATAGTTGTTTTCAATTTCCTATCTCTGTTGGAGAGTAAATATGACCTTAATATATCATAATTATCTTCATCAATTATTTAAGTAAATACTTCTTTTTACAGGTTCCTGTGTACAAAGAACCATCTTTCACTATTCCTGGAATCCCAGGAATTGTACAGTATGAAATCTTGAATAACAGGAGACATGTTTTGACAAAGGTACCTTGTATCCTTTAGATACTGCTCTCAGTCCTGACAGTGAAGTTAGCTTTAATAGCTCAAAGGTGATGATTTTGACATGTTCTTTACAGGATACATCAGGTTCAGTCAAGCTGTGGGAGATTACCAGGGGCATTGTGATTGAAGATTATGGGAAGGTTCTCTTCTATACCTCTTGGAAATGCGTTGTTGTTAAATAATAACTTGAATTTATTCTTACAATTTTAAGAGGAAAAAGGAGTGGATGTGTAGACTTTTTTAATTTGTCCATTTTGATTTAATGACTTTTAGTGTATCTTGTGGCCTATAATACATTGACAGTGGGCCCATCTTAATCTAGAGGCATTGTTCTTTCAATAAGTATTTATGTGTCAATTTTTTTCACTCTGCAGGTTTCATTTGATGAAAAAAAGGAGGAGTTATTTGAAATGGTACTTTATCATGAAATGATAATACCTGATGTTACATTACATATTCTAGTGGTATCTTTCTGCTACATCCTTAAAAAATTATTTTGCTATTTGTTTTTCAAGGTGAGCATACCTGCATGGTTTGCAATGGACACTCGACTTGGAAGCTTGTCTATTCATTTGGATACCCCTCAATGCTTTTCTGCTGAGATGTATGCTGTTGACTTGAATATATCAGGAGCACCAGAAGATCTGAAGGTGAATTATTCATCCAGTGTTTTGTTGACCTTTTTAAAAATTCTGACTTGGCTTCTTAGAAGCAAACAGTTTATAATAACCTTTGGTTAATATTCTAAAAATATAAGGTGACTTGATAACACATATTAACCTCAAATATATGTGCTCTATGGATGGACAGAGATATAAGTTTGTGATAATTAAATATTTTTAGCTATTTTGTGGAATGTTAAACATGTTGGGAAAGAAAATCAACCTTCAGTAGTAATAACTAATAAGTTTAACAATGTAAGATCTGTGAATCCTGCAGATTAACTTAGCTCAGGAGACACTTCGTGGTTTGTTGGTCCATTGGGCAGCTAAAAGAAGGCAGAGATCTGGATCACAAGCTTCGTCAAATGGAAATGTCGCATCTTCAAATGATGTCACTAGAAATCTTCCACATTCAAAAATTGAGGTGGATGATGGGGCAGAAAACAACACATTCGTTGTGCTTCCTTCTTTTGAATTTGCTACCGATTCACCTCCATCCATAGTTACGGAGGGTTCGCATGGAGGTCCTTGGAGAAAGAAGATAACAGATTTAGATGGCACAGAAGATGAGAAGGATCTTCCATGGTGGTGTATGGATTGTGTTTTAAATGGACGATTACCTCCAAGGGAAAATACAAAGTAAGATATATTTTCTTTCATTCTGCTGTAAAAAAAAAAAAACCTTTTTTGATTTCATTTTTATTTGCATGTACCTTAATACTTAAATGTGTGTTTGTGCATTATGATCTTTTAAATTAAGTATACTATTTCTTGTTCTGTTTCTGTATTTCAAGAGCCAAAGTACAACTTTATGTCCTGAACTTGTTGGATAAATTGTGGTAACTTTAAGAAAATTAATCAGGAGAGAAAACACAAGGAATTCCTAATGGTGTTTCAAATTATTTTTATACTATTTTTTTAATGTTTTTCTAGCATGTTAGATGAGTTAATAATATGAGAGTTGGATGCTTATAGGGTTGTGTTTGTCAAGCATGATTGAAACTTTCTTGTCAAGTTTGGTATTTCATGATTCTGTTGTTTCCTATAATTTTCATTTTTTGGGTTAGCATATAACATGTGTTATTCTGTATACCTATATAATTAACAAAATTTGCTATAAGCATAAGATACAGCACCCTTTCGACCATTGTAGTCTGAATTGAACAAGTTTGCGAAATTGGGAGGCATAATTTTATGATGTGTATACTATAGTGGGGGATCAAATAAAACGACAGGAATAGTTTGGGTTAACTTCAAAGACATTTTTTTATTTATTTGATTTTGTATTGTTTCTTTTAACAGCAATCTACTAGAAACAGTGGTCTTTTAACAAGGTGCTCCTGGTTGCCTGTTACCTTTGTCATCAAGGTCAAGTAACTTGGAGGAAAAAAGAGGAAAATGATTGTAACATCGAAATCAGGATTTACTCCCTTCTAGTTTTGTGGTTTGCTTCAATCTTTCTATTTTTCTGCTGTCGACTACTGATGGGTGACTGTTGGCTCTCTCAAGAGCCACAAGAGCGGTCATGATAAGTTATGTTGGAAATTGGAACTGCAGGAAAATTGGTCAGCTCCTTTCATGTTCAATGCATCGGAGTTAGTGCAAGTAGTCAGTCCATAATCCAGTTTATTAACTGATAGAATTTAATAAGGTGAGATGGATACCCTGATTTTGTCCGTGGATTGAGCCTTTGTTTCCTTAGTAGGTTAAAATGTGAAATCATTATTGTAAAGTGAATGTGGTATACCCACCAAACTACGTAAGTGTAGACCTTGATGTAGGTGGGGCATTGAGGCTTGTTAAGTATATAATTTTCCATTGAAATGTCCATTTCATACCGATGAAAATCTTGATTAACTCCACTGTTCAAACAGCCTCTCTGTTTACTGTCCATTTCTTCCTTTTGAGAAGAAAATTGAAAAAAAATCAAGATGTAGATAACCATATAACCAACTGTCATTTAATAAAATATATCACCAATTATTAATTTTTACAGGAAACCTTTATATGCTTACGGTCCATTTAGCACCAATTCAATTCATTGGGCCACTCCATATGGATTAAGGAGCACTGTAGATTCAGTTGACAACCAAAATGTGATTTGACTTTTAAGTCAGTGGTGAGGATGTTGTGATAAATTAGTGGGAGGTGATTTCAGTTTAGTTGCACACGAGGCCTGGAGGAGTACCTGAGGTATATGGTATCCTAACAAGGACATCATGGATTTGTAGCAAAAGAACATGTGATGTCTAGATACTCCAAATATTGGAAAACTTAATAAATATGTTGGATATAGAAGCTGAACAGCGACTATCTATCGTGTGTTTTTGTCATGTAGTTCTTGCTTCTGGTTGTTTTGATGTCTTATGTGAATACGTTAGTATGTCTATCTACTTCACTTTTTCTTAAGTTTCCAAATCTCCCACCAATTTTCCTGCAAATTTAGATGCATTTCTCGTGGTAAGAACATAACACAGTTATAAAATTCAAAGTGGCTAACACAGTTATAAAAAAAGAAATTTTCTTTTTTTAAGAACCTGTTGACCTGTGTTTAGTAGTGAATCAAGATTAATATATTCCCCACATTTAGCTGAAATACTCCACACTCTTAGATTGGTATTAGTGGTGGAATAGGTTTGTATTGTTTTAGCCTCCAGATTTGTTTCTTAATGCAGCTATATTTGGTTTCCATTTTCTTGTTGAATTTCATTGTTGTCCTATATTTGATTGAGATGCTACTATATTAGAAGTATTATGAGCTCAAGAATGAGAATTCAGGTTATATTTATTTGTTATGGGACAATGCTTAGTTTTTGTGTTGTTTATCTTGGAAATTTTGTCACCCTATTTATTTGTTATGGGACAATATTTAATTTTTGTGTTGTTTATCTTGGAAATCTTGTCACCTTTCAGTTGCTTTATTCTGTGTAGATGTAGCTTTCATTTGCAAGCTTGTGAAGGTTCAAGTGTCCAAATACTAACACAAGGTAAATTGAGTGCTCCACGGATATTGAGGATTAACAAAGTAAGTATCTGTTTTAAGCACTGAGCATTTGACACCAAGCACTAAGTATTTGGCACTAAGTTAGGTTACTGTAATATGACTTAAGATGTGCAGTTTTTTTTTGCTTTTTGTTTGCCAAAATATCGTAACATGCTTGAGTTGTTATGGCCTCTGAAGTGTCCTAGTGAGGCTATTGAAACAAAACTTGAGTGGCATATTCTATTTATAAGAGAATGGTGATATACAAGGAATGCATTTCAATATCTTCAACATGTTGATAATAAATTTTCTGTTCATGTTTTGTGGTGTGAAGCAGCTTTATAACAATTACATATGTTCAGTGTACATATGACAAATGAGGAAGTCATATTTTCACTCATTTAATTTGCAATTGGATCTGAGGTAGTTAATAGAAATTATATACTTACGATGGCTTCATGGCCCACTGACGTTCTATCATTATCAATAAAACTAGAATGTAATACACTACATATATATTGGGTCATGACTTTCAAATTTCTTGGAAAATTTTGGATGATGAATTTTCTTAATTCGAGTGATAGTATATTGCTTAATGATCTATATTGGGCCTTGAAAACTCTTTGCCTGTTCAGTTTGATGATTATGACTTCATTCTCTATTGTTGGATGCGAAGTGCAACTTGGACTAAGTCTTGTCGTATCGTTTAGTTTTCTTTCTTATATACAATGACCTTTTCATTTGCTTTTCTTCTGAATTAACTTTGTAAGGGAAGTGTATTATATGAACACCCATGATATTCTTTAATTCATCATTGATAGGATTTTTCTATTATCTTACCTTTTCAGGTGATTAATTATGTCATTGAAAAGATGGTTCTTGACAAACCATTGGATGGTGGAAGCTCTGATGGAGCATCTGGTTTGGGATTAAGTACAGGACCATCCCAGCTTTCAACCCTTGGAGACGTTTCTCTACGGCCAGGGATGAAGCCATGGCAAAAGATGAAGCCATCAATAGAAATTTTGTGTAATAATCAGGCAAGTTCCAAGGAAATCTACATTGGATTTTCAGGCTTTTGTTTTCATTCTGTAGTTATATATCTTCATCATATCTAAACATTGTGCATGTTGGCTTCCTTCATCAGAATTTAATGAGGTCGCTGGGAACAAGCATTACACACCTTCACTTCTTATGTTTACATTTAGTTCACTGTTTGGTCTTATCTTTGAATACTTTCAACTGCTGTCTAGTTGTTTAGATGTGATTGTATCACGTATCATGGTTATGTTCTTGTCATATATTGGTGTCACTACTATGGGACTTTTCTTAGTTGAATAAAAGAGAGTGAAATAATAAGGAAATCAGTATCTGGAATATCACGAGTATTCTTTGTTTTTGACCAGTGAAGAACCTCTAATGTACTTAGATTGTTTGATTTCATGATACCTATGGTCTCTTCTGGAACCTAAACAACTAATATAGCAATTGTATATGGACATGAGTGCAGGTCCTATCACCTGAAATGAGTTTGGCCACGGTTCGAACATACATCTGGAAGAAGCCAGAAGACTTGGTGCTGAATTACAGACTGGTGCCAAAATAAATGAGCATGAACTCTACCATAAATAAAAGGTCCGAACACCACAGCTATGCTGGTTGTTGACTGATGTGCATGACATAGCTGTTATGTAATGTATTAAATGACTTTGTTTTTCCTTTTTCATTCAGCTTTTAAGTCTCCTGCATTTTCGTCACTTAGTAAAGCGTGGAATGTTGGGTTGGAGTGGAGGATCCTGCTGCTGGATGTGTGATACATGGTGCACCGATTCCTCAATGCGCCTATGGGTTTGCGGCCGAGTTGATACTGCTGCAGCATTGTAAATTTGGAAGTCTGCTATGTGAAACTCATATTGCACTAAATCCATAACTCCTTGAGCCTTAATAATCCTGTGCAGATGCTATGTTTTAGCTGTAAGCTTGATTGTAAAAAACTTGCAAAATCTTCAAGCAAACAAATCAATGGTTGTGGGACATTGGGACTAATGTGGATTGATGGTTGATTTTGCTTGTTGAAGCATATCATATTGTAATCAGAAAATGATAGAAGGGAGCATCCTTGATGTGAAGAGTCTTAACTCAAGTATTGTAAGAAAAATATGGCACATGTATCTCTTTATTACACAAAGCATACATGAATTGGAGTTGGAGATCTGATGAAACTGTGTTGTGGTTCCTTTGAGCTGTTGCAGATTCCACAGTATTGGAAATGTTGTCATTTATTCTTGTGTCATGCAAGTAATCCAAGTGGGTGAGGCTTCTTCCAAAAAAGGGTTCTCCCAAAAGTGGATTTGGACTATCCATCCCAAGTGTGTAAGGCTTCTTCCAAAAGATTCTACCAATTCCTCACCTAAAATCAAGTGGTCACCTAAAGTTATATACTCATCTTATCTCAATCCTTGTCTTGTTTGCAAATTAGGAAATGTCTCCTTTAAGCTCCCTCTCTCTCTCTCTCTCTCTTTTATTTTTTGGGAATGTGAGTTTGCCTTGGAACTTTGTTCTATAATCAAAGATAACCTCAATGTGTACTATCAATTTTTTGAGGATTGGGGTAATGGGTCATGGCTGATATAGCTCTATAATTGCTCCACAAAAATAGAAATGAGATCATGCACTTCTTCCCCCCATATTCTATTGCAACTGTGGAATCTGTACAGTGATGTCTTTGCATTAGGGGTAGAGACCAAAGTCTTGAAGATCTCATCATATGCTTAACAGGTCAGTGTTAACAAGCATTCCTACTGATGGACTGGTGGGACTGATCCACCCAATTTTGTAATCTGCCTAATAGTTCTTAATGATGAAATAGATCCCAAGAAGTCATCCTACAACATCATAAAGGAAAAAACCTACTTCATTGGAACATACTACTTAACTTTGTGCTATTCATCTTATCAGTCCACAGTTTGACAATTGTAGCCACAAAACAAAGTCATGATCTAACAACCATTTATTTTCTGAAAACACCATAACAACATGCAGATCATACAGGCATCCCCAAAAGGAGGACAATATCCCAACAACATCAACTTTTTTTTACTTTTTACAGATAAGTCAAATGAACATCTACTTTGACCAAGGAACTCAAGGATGCTCAGAATCTACCAGCTTACAAGGCAGTTGACAAGTGCGATAAAGAACAGCATTTGGTTCAAGTGCTGGAGTCACCCTCCATCTCAGTTCCATGCCTCCGTCCGACACGGCCTAACAAATGGCATAGTGATGGCACATGAGACGGACAAAAAGCAAATTGAGTGTAGTTAAATGTAGCAAGCACATAAAAGGCTATGTATCATCGCAGTGAGACCGGTGCACCCAAAGAAATAACATATGGCCTGTGTGACAGAACAAAAATAGTGATTGTTTCTTCAAAATTAGAAAGATGAGCTAAAAAAAACTAGATAATACATGCTAAAGTGAAAGTGCACAAACTTATTAAATACAAGGAAATAATCCCAAACCTGGATTCAAGATGACCCGAGAGCAAATACTTGTCAAGTGTCTGCAAGTAAAACAAATATTTCAACAATTAAATATTTTGGTTATAATGGTTGGACAACGTTAATAATGCTGATTAACGTGAAAGAGAGATGAAATATTGACAGGCCTTTCAGGTTTCACTATTCAAAAGGACAGAATGTCGATTCATAGTAACTGCACTAACTCGGTAAGAAAATTATGTTCGAGAATGACCAATTGTGCAACGAAAAGAACAAGTTCTGACCTAATATGTTGCAACTTATCCAATTAAAGGTAGACACTCTAAAATCAACTAAAATAAAAGGACAATAGGATGTACAACAAATATAATATCAAAAATATGTAGATTTAAAATGCTAAAATGCCATAACAACAAACAATCTACACTGCAAGACGTCAACGAGTGAAAATAATGTTGAAAGGCCACCAAGATTGGAAAATACCATGATAAACTGCTTAAATTAAAGACAATAGTGTAGATCATGGTCACCATGCAACAATTGCTCATAAATCATGGCTGACCTACAGTTATCTGCACAAGATCAAATATGTCACTTATCACCAATTCTGTCTCCCAACTATACAATTATTCATCGTAAGAATCAGAGTCACAGCAAAGCACAACCCATCCCCTAAAAGTGCACCATATAACGGGTATAATGTGGCAACAGATCACTAAGCTTCAATATTAATTTACATGGAAACCTGTACAAGTTTAGACCTATTGCCAACTATTTATTAAAACTTTAAGAGATGTAACTAAGAAGAAGCAAACATAACATGTTTACTCTGTTAAAATATGTCTTAAATGATCTTTCAGAGCTCAAGAACTTCCAAGCAATAAAAGCCACAACTATAAAGGTGAAGCCCTTCGAATAAAGTGGGTTCAAATGTTCAATGGATTTCAATGTCTCAATTTGACGGTGTAGCTAGAATCCATCAGTGACAAGTTATTTCAGAAGTTTTTTAGTCCACTCTTTTAGTCCTAAGGCAGCACTGCTACGTTAGGGCACTTTTCAAAGTTCAAACTATTGCATCGCCAAATGGCATCAAACAGGACCTTGGAGCAAGTCACTAAAGGTAGATGCTGTTCAATAATAAAGATCAGAAGTGAAAGAGAGCAGTAAATGAAAACTGAAGTTAACCTGGAAAGAGGTATCTGATTTAATAAAACAATTATTTCCAGAAAAATTCGCATACAAAGTCAGATTATGCAGTCTTGAACTATTTGTTTCTGGGCTAACTAGTATTTTTTGGCCCTAAAGGACTCCCGAAACCGATCAAGATACCACAATGAACAGACTTGTATCTAGACTCCGGGAATGCACATCAAACACCATGCTCTCATGTAGCAAATATCATGTCCCAATTTCCAACATCTGATCTTCTGGAAAGCATCACATTCATATAGTAAATATCATGTCATATGATTTTCTATTTCTAGCCTTCAGAGATACAGGTCAAAGTTCAAGTTCATAAAACAGATATGAATTCATCATTTTTAATCCTTTATCTACTCTTCTAACATGCACAATATCGATCACATTCATATGGGAAAAGGGTAATAGTTCTACGGAGTAAGAGTTGACCTTTATGCTCCATGTAGGCATCATGGTACTCATCTTCTTCAGGGACAGGGTGAAGCTCTCCGCCCTCTGCCGACCCCTTTGCCATCGACGGACAAGCGCCCTTTGCAACAACACCAGCATCAGCTCCAGCTGCGGCCCCCTCATCGCGGACGACCACCACGGGGCACACGCAGTGGTGGACGCAGTAGTCGCTGACGCTGCCGAGCCTCCCTTTGCCAGTCCTCCTCGAGGCTCCGAAGCCCCTGCTGCCCATGATCACGGCGCTGAGACTGAGCCGCTCCACCTCGAGGCAGAGCCGCTCCTTCATGTCGTGGTCCTTGACGATGTGGATCTTGAAAGGGATCTGAGCCTCCACAAGCGGCCGCGCAAGGTCCTGCGCCTTGGTGGCGGTGAAGGCGTCGAAATCCTCCTCCAGCTTCTGCTGCGACACGTCCGAGCCGGCGCCCTCCTCCGCAGCCTCTTCGGAGACGGAGAGGTCGACGGAACCCCAGTCAGCGCCGTAGAGGACGGACGTGGGGCGGACGTGGAGGAGTATGACGGCGTCCCCGGGACGAAGGTAGTTCTGGACGGCCCACTTCACGGCGTAGGCGCTCTCGTCGCTGAGGTCGACAGCGATGGCGATCCGGCGGTGGGAGCCGAAGGAAGGGTTCGCGGCGGCAGCGGAGGAAAAGAAGAAGTTCGGGGAGGACGGCTGGATCCCATCCTGCGCGGCCGCGGCCGCCGCCACACGGGCCAGTGGCGGCGGGGCCTGGCTGTCTGACTCCGGCGTGGTCTGTTTAGGGATCATTCCGGCGAGAAGCTACGATTTTTATGGTTTGTAGACCTTTTGCGGTACAAAGATCAGTCCTTTGGCGTGCGTGAGAGAGAGAGGAGACGCTAAGGTTGGATTCGATGGGGGAATATAATGGCCGGCGAATATCCTCTTTTCTAATGACGTAAATGCCCTTATATTTATTATTCTCCTTGATGATTTTTAGAAAAATATATAAATTACAAATATGATAAGATTATTTATGTACGAATTGTTGGAAAAAATATCTATTTTTAAATTTTTTTTCCTACTTTTAAAATTATTTTTTTTTATAAAAAAATAATTAATTAAGATAATATTTCTTATATAAAAATATATATATTTTTCCTAAACCTATATGCTATAGCGGTAGGTTTAGCTGATTGGATTATTTTTTTATATTATATATATAATAAATATTTACATAATTATATCAAACATTTTTCAATGCTTTAATTATATCAAATATTTTTGGATGCTTTAATATATTAGTTGCATTGAACACTATGAATATATATATATATATATATATATATATATATATATATATATATATATATATATTTTAATTCCGAATGAATGTATCACATGTAAAGAAGAGGATCTTATCGTATCGGATAATTTATATATTATTTTATTATAAATAGAGTACTTTAGTTATGGTAGACATTTTAAGTTTTTTTATCCTCAATGGATACATCATTGGTCGATAAGATATATTAATTATATTATATGCTTTAGATATTTTTTTGGGATGGATGCATCACGATTTGATCACATCGAACACTTCCATTTTTTTTGCTTTGGATGGACACATCACATCTAAAGAAGAGGATACTCTTAGTGAATGCATCTTAATGGACACATCTCATTATTACATTAGGCATATCATATTTATTTTTTATTCTTAGTTGATGCATCATGCACAGAAAAATGATGCTTTGATTGTATTTGTGCTTTAGATGGTTTTGTATTTTCGACATATATATCATAAAGGAAAGAGGAAGCTTTGGTCGTGTCAAGTGCTCTGGATATTTATTTTTTTCTTGAGCAAGCACATCATCATTTGTAAAAGAAACGATCTTATGTCAGGTGACATGATGCAATTAGATCTTACATACATTTGTGTTATTAGTTTTAATACAAGTGATTAAGTGATACTGTGACAAGAAATTCTATATGTAAAAAGGAAAGAATTTTTCATAAACAGTCAGATTCTAGTCTGGCTGTTGATCCATCTCCGACCAACAATTTATGGGCCAAACCAGATTAGAATCTGACAATTTATGAAATAATTTCTTTCTTTCACTTAATCACTTGTATTAAAACTAATACAAGTGAAATGTATTAATAATAACCAATTAAAAGTTACCTGAATCGATTTGTTGCATTATATACATGTTAGCATGTCATCTGTGCTTTATCATTAGCACATTAATATAGAAAGAAAAGACCATATGACTATGGTGTCATATCGAGTAAACAAGATCAGTTAATATTGTTACTATTACTGCTGCTGTTGTATATAGGAACACGGGTTGTGTCCTTTCCCTCTTTTATCTAATATTAAAAGAGGGGACCAACTACACATTTATGCTTCTACCCAATGGATGCCTTTTGATGCCATGCTTATAGTTTTTTTTTTTTTTCTCGAATGCTACAGAATTTATAGTTTATTTGGATGTTAGAATTTACAGGTAGGTAGTCAGTATAATTCTTTTACATCCTATCCTAACCTGCCATCATAATTGGGATTGACACTTTTGGGAAAGAAGACCTATTGTTCCATATTTCGAAAGCTCTAAGCATAAAGAATTCACGCTTCCATATTTCAAAAAACAGACTTTTGATGAATGCAAAAGTTCTATAAAAGTAAAGATGATAATAGAAAAGATAAGCATGCAAACGCATGGTTAACTGCACAAAGAGGCAAAAGTATCTATACATAAATTGATTACAGAAGCCGATGATGTATAGTAACCTATGAATCAAACTAATTTGTTAGTAGAATCATAGCCAACGAATGATATTTCTTCTTCCTTCGCTTCAGATATAGTTGTTCTAACCTTTTTTTCTAGTAATTTTAAGTGTGATTATAAATCAAAAATAACCTGTCAGTCGCATGCCCGACATGAGTTAGCAATTCCTTTATCTCTAACTTAGTCATCTCAATCTTTGTACGCTATACATTCTTCCAAATTTATTTGTCCTCGTGGTGCCTCTTACGCGAAGGATTGATCATTTCTTTGAATGATAATATCATATGACCATTTAGTAAATATTTTCTATAACTACGAAGAACAAAGTGATTAATGTGAAGTGGACGTGCCGGAGTGGTTATCGGGCATGACTAGAAATCATGTGGGCTCTGCCCGCGCAGGTTCGAATCCTGCCGTTCACGACCTTTGTTTCTTTTAAATTTTCAATGTTTTCTGTCACAGTTATTATGCTATCTACACGAGCAACAGTTCATAGAAAACGCATATTAGTTATTTTTTATTGCGCCTAATACCAAATAAACTCTTCTCCTCTACACAGACATCTACACAACGAACGAAGATAGTGTGGAGAGTTATGTTATTGTGTGTTTCGCTTTTCATCAAATAAGCTGCTGAACCCACAACGTACGACCTGTACCACCCTGCAACCGCTTACACACTCGATGTAGTACTGCCTCTCTCTCTCTCTCATATACATAACATGCAAATGATCCCTAACCTTTCTTTCTGGTTCTGTCATGCAATATTATCCCGAAATCCCACGCTTCTTTTATATTTCTTCGTTTTCTTGGGTCGTACACTTCCTCTTAGCGCCGTAACAGGCGAGCCCAGAGAATGCCACCATCGGCAGCATATAATGACCAAGATATCAGTGATATCGGAAACATGCATTAATGGCCCACGGACTCGTACTAAGAGCGTTACCATACAGCCTCTCCTATAAGAGACCGCAAAGTGGTAAGGCTCTGCGCCGGCTCTTTCTCCTCTCTCAGACTCACAGCCCTTCCCTTTTCACGGAAACCATCACCTGCCCCTTCCACTGGAAGTTAAGTGCAAGAAACCCAAACTACTTTAATTTATTGTCGACTCCCTTCTATTACTGCACCCTTCTTCTTTATAGAATGTAGACTTCCCATATCGAGCCAAACCCAGTGCGACGTGCATCGCCTATCATGTCAACCTGTGTTCTTGATTCTATTGCTACAACCGTGCCAACTTCTTGCAAGAAGATTGAGCTCAGCAAGAAGCACATAATGAGACATAATACAATGCTTAGCATGCCACATCAGCTACCAAAAAACTAACTAGCTACTTGCTCAACAAAAGTAACATGAAGGTCTTCCAATGATTCTAACGAACAGTAATTAAAAGGAAAAGAAGAGTCACACTTGCTTTGATTATATGGAAAGCTTGAGCGAGAGATCGAGGAGAGTAGAAGAAGCTGCAGCGGCGGAGGAAGAGGAAGCATCACCAGCCGTGCGATCAGCGAGCTCGGGGGAACCGTCGCCGTTGGATACGCTTAGGCTGCTCGGCGGGAAGAACTCGAACTCCTTGATCACCTCCCTCTCCTTCTCGCCCGCCGGCTTTCCCTGAAGTCCAAAGAGAAGGCATCCAATCAAAATGGAGGAGAAGGATGCGAGGAGGATTGGGGGTGAAGGGGACTGGCATCACCAGATCGACCGCCATGGCAGCAGCGAGGTCCATCTCGAAGTAATCCGCACCGGTGGCCAGGTTGTCAGATAGTTTGTTGCCGAAGAGGCGCTTCTTCTGAAGGGTAGTTTCATCAAAGAGAACGGAGTCAGTGGAAGAAACTAGAGAGTGGCGGAAACCCTAATGGAGGATTTCCGGGGCTTACTCTGGCGCAGAACTCGCACGGGTCGGAGAGGCATTGCGGATTTTGGCTTGAAGGGGGCTCTGGAAACGGACTCCCGACGTGGAATCTGGCGTCCCCGGCCGTCGCCTTCCGGTACCGATCCAGCCCGTGATGATCGTCCAGCACGGACCGGGCGACGGTTCCGGCAGCCGCTCCGCCGTAAGCTACCGGCCCATGGACAATCTGGCGGTAACGGGTGAGGTATCCGTCGAGGGGCTGCCCGGCCGAGTAGACGATGGGGGCGCCATACACAGCCCCGGCGACGGGGGTGAGTTGGTGAAGGTGGAGCGGAAGAATGCCGTCGCGAGCGGGTTCGAGCTCCGTCATCTTCTTCCAGCGCTCCTGGAGGCGGAGCCTCTCGAGCTGGGCGACGCCGAGGCCCCTCTGAGGCGGGCGCTTCGGCGCTGCCGCCTTGGCCCCCGCTCCGCCCTTCCGACCCTTGGCCTTCCCCGCCGGAGCTTCGGCAGAGGAAGTGTTGGTCTCCGCGGCGCTGCCTTCTCCGCCTTCGTCGGCCTTGTGCCGCGCTGAGGACCAGAGGAAGAAGGACGTCGCCATTGTTGCACCTAAAGGCGAGCAGGAGATGTGTGTGTATGTAAGAGGGGGAGAGAGGGAGAGAGAGGAAGTGCGTGTGAGGAGTAGGTGGGGTATATATTTATGGGACGAAGGGGTAGAGATGGATCCAAAAACAAGATCAACAAAATGTGTCTACCGTGATAGCATAGAGGTAGCATAATAACAACCGAGTTCGAGGCAGGGTCGGTGGTCCCAACAGACTGACCGACACGTGGCGCAAGGTGATTCCGGTGGCGAGGGCCTCATGTCCCCTGGCACCAACGTGTGGGACCCTGCTCTCACATTCTCCTTGTTTGTTTGACATGGGTAAGATTTCGGGGGCTACGAGTGGCCGTTCACTGTGAGTGGAAGTAACAGACGGTGGTTTGGGTGTAGGGTCGATCTCATAGGGGAGGCGAGCGGGGCAGATCGCGTAGGGCCAGTAGTAGGGTCATGGAGGAAAGGTGGGTTGGGGTGAGCCCGACTCAGCGTAGTAGTAGATCAGTTAATGGGAGAAGGACCTGCTGTCGTGGACGGGAAGATCAATCAATTTATTCTTTTTTGTTTTGCTGCGGACACGTTGCGATGATGAAGTGTCTCTGATCGAGTTTTGGACACCCATTGGAATAATAGGATTAGATTCCCGCCCTAGTCTAAGAGATCCCCGGACCCACTGTAGTCATAGTGCGAGCCAATGAAATGTCACCACGATGGTGGTCCCACAGGTGTCCGAGGAAGAGCGAGAGGCGGCGGCTGCCCAACGACGCGAGTCAAGTAAGAGGCGTTATTATTATTATTAGTATTTGGCAGGTAATTAAGGATGGATAGTGATATATGATTAGGATTCGGGACAGACACGCAGAGAGAGAGAGAGAGAGAGTGTGTGTGTGTGTGTGACACAGACTGCGGCCTACAGTTTGCTGGGGTGGAGCAGCAGGAGGCAGCCTTTCGGTTCGCGACATTGTGCGGACTGTCGCCGTCGCCGGAAGACGCAGTGCCGCCGAATCTTGATATACCCAAACTAGCCTTCCTAGTGTGAGCTTGTCACCTACGTCCCAACTCCACAATCATTAATTAGTAGGCGGATCAAACACGACGCCCTAATCCACGCTAAGAACGCAGGTTCCCGTCCTAACAGCGTTTGAAGCTTTTCTTGAGCGTTGATTGGGCAGGATCGTAAAGAAAACATAGAATCCAGCATGGTTGTCGGCTGCGAACTGTGACTTATGATTTTGATCTGCCACTTGTTCGATAAAAGTCCCCAAAGAAACATGCTGGAAGGGGACCATATACATACGATAGAGATAGAGAGAGAGAGAGAGAGAGAGAGAGAGAGAGGGAGAAAAGCAGGTCGGCTACGCTAGTAGTGCTGAAAGAAGAAGGGGGGACGCATGGCTTTTGAGAGTTCAGCAAAAACAGCAACGCAGGCAGGGAAACAGTAGCAGCAGATTGACCGTATCCCAACGGAGATCCGCCACCAAACATACACAATAATGTTTCAGGAATATAGTAAGGCTGCAGGACGAGGACGAGTCAGTCCATAACTCATGCTGTGGCCCTTATCAGATTTTTCCCTCACCTGCTACCCCCCCTTCCATTCTCATCAAATCATACTGCATCAATCGTTCACCTTGGCAAATCCAAGGACGACAGAATAGGTAAACAAACAAGAAGAGAGAGAGAGAGAGACAGAGAGAGAGAGGGAGAGAAGAAAAGAATTCTAACTTTTGAAGACACCCAAACTAAAATACTACCTCACATATACTGGTAATCAATTAACCAGCTTAAAAAAGCTTATATGCTGACCCGACCAGATATGTAACCTAACATGATGCAGACTGACGTGACGATGATGGTGAGGAGCAATGAGCGAGAACGCGAGAAGCCATTGGTTGGAGTCACTTCCATCAAACTCGATCGGTCCTCCAAATCGGGAGTGAACCAGGAGAGTAGATCACCTGCCACATCCAACCCCGCGACTTGAAACGAACGTCCAGTTTGCATGCAATACCCCTTCAAGTTATCTTCAACGCGCTTTCGATAATAGATACAGTCCGGCTTCATCGACTCTGACTTTGATGATGATTTGGTCATGGATACTGACAACCCCTCCGAGAATCCACCGATAAAGAAGGTGCGACCGCCCAAGCTATTCACCTCCACCACACGGTGACGTAGTCCCTCCTTCACCTTGAAAACCTTCAACTGTTGCAGCTCTGAGCGCAGCTTCGTAGTATAGAACACGATGAAGACATCGTCGTTTGACCCCACCAGCCTACCCTTGCGTGAGCGACGACGACGCTCGTCCTCCCAAACCAAAGATGGAATTGGGATGATCGACGACACCACAGGATGGGGTTTGAACATGTAGACCACGATTTCTGCCGAGCCGGTCAGAATATACAGCCTTCCATGGTGAAACAAAATGTCCATGGGATCATCTACGTCCAATTCCCCGTACGTGAGCTGCCAAACTCTGTACACGGTCACGCATCTGTATGAGTCCACCAAATTATAACCCATCGTCGCAAGGAGAAACCCTGTTGTGAGTGGAGACGCCGATATGACGCCCTTGACGACATGGTTGACGCATGGACCAAAGTGGACCAGAACTCTGGTGATTGGATTTAGAAGACTAGCCCGATAACCGGCGAAGATTTCCGGAGTAGTGCGTAAGAACAGTAACCAGCCCTTGGATGACCCGCAACACCACTGTGTTTGGAGCTCCTTTGGGATCTCTAAGCCTAAGCTTCGTCGTCCGGCAAAGGCAGTGCAGAGGCCCCATCTTCGAGGATGGGGTAGGCCGGGGTAGACCAACAACCACGGAGGAGGAGACGGAGCATGGAGGAAACCAACAGCTGCCTGCCAAGATTTGCATACAGCGGCGACACGGATCCGATCGACTACGGTGAGGCGCTTCAGGATCTTCTCCATCTCATCTATCGGAAGTTGAGACCAGCAGCTCTCTTCTTCTCCTTCGCCTGTTGGTGGTGGAGCCATGTCTTCGTTACCCTTTCCCCACAATGTATATATCCTATCAAATATGCAGGTATCACCCACAAGGGGAGATTGCACCCTTATTTATAAGCTACACCATTGATTCAATCCTAGCAGGACCTGAAGTCCTAACTGGTTGAGGATCCACCCATCACACACATCTAGATAGAACTCCTAGTTCATCTAAACTAGGAGAAGTATCAGGCGCAAAAGATGAACCAACATAAGTTTCCTTTAGATTCGCACCGTCGTCGATCTCGACCGTTGGTGGTGCGTCTAACCATGTACGTGACCCACAACATGCATGCACGCAATATGTATATATACACGTGAAGAGAAAGCTCGACCGCATTGACACGTCGGCAACGTAAGATTTTTTGAATTATTTATATTATTCTAGAAAATCTACGTATAAATTATTTATATTAGGAAAACAACAGCTTTTTTTTTTGTTTCTCTCAAATGTATCGATCTAACACCAACTCAAAAAGATCTGTGCGTCCTTCTTCAATTCACGGCATCGACTCCACAAAAGAATTCGCTCAAAAACAATAATTATTTGTTTCCTTCTTGGAGGAGGCCTCGTTACTTGTCTATTTGTCCGTCGTGGTAGGCGATCCGGCGCTGCGTGAGCTCGCGGTCGTCCGATGCGGATCCGATGGTGAAAGGCTCGATCACCGAGCTCGAGCAGAGGCGGCCGAGGACGGTCGGCGGCGTGTTGGAACTCGACACCAGCGCCGTCGCTGCCGAACCACCGCAGCCGTCCGTCGCGATTCCCATAGCGCTGCTACATTCCCGCAGCTCCTCCTTGTTTTTCATTTAATTATTTACCGATGATAAGATCCAAACAAGAATAACAAAAAAAAAGAGGATTATTTGTGGCAGGGATTACTTCGTTTACGAATTCGCAGGAGGCGAGGGCGGAACGGAAGGCTGGAAATTGGACGGGGAAGAACTCGAAGGCGGCGGAGAGGAGAGCGGAGGCGGCCACCACTGAAGGTTTGAACTCCAGCACCTTCATCTCTGCATGATTTCCCGGTGAAAACTTGATGATGGATCCAGGAAAAATCTTTTTTTAAGTTTAATTTGATCGATTGATTGGGTTACCGTTTTGGGTTTTGAGAAGGATCTCGGTCGCGTGGGCTTGGAGTGCTTGGAGGAGAGGGGGTTGGGCGGGTGAGAAGAAGGAAGTGAAGAACCGGAGAAAGGAGAAGGGGGTGATCGATCGCATCCGCCAATCCAGTGCTTCGAGCACCAGAAGCTCCATTCTCCGGATCGTTTGGGCGTCGAACACAAAATATTCCTCTCTCTGCAAATTCGATCCAAATGAAACAGTGAAATCGATCCATGTGACCTCGATTTTTTTGAGAAAGAGGAACCTCTGTTTACCAGGAAATCCGCTAGAGGTTTGCAGGTTTTCTTCATCTTGGACGCGAGGGATAGGCAGGAGATGGAGAGGAGACGAACGATCCACGGCTTCTCTATCTGCAACAGGAGATCGCTGCTTCTGTATTAGATCGACAATCTGGAATTAACCGATTCGATTGGTCATCTTCTTCAACTACTACTCATTTACAGTGACTGATACCGGGATTTCGCGCTTGGAAAGGTACCGATCAATGTAGTTGATTGCAAGGCAAGCGACGAAGGGGTCCAGATTGCAATTGAACTGCGCCTGCCCACGAAAACATCACCGCCATGGAAAAGATCGGATCTTTCGTTAGTCTGAGCGTCGAGGTATAGCATTACCTGAAGGACCAGAGAGACGGCGTTTCGCCGGGCGGAGGGATCAATAGCGCCGACGGTAGAGATGATGTGGTCGGCCTCGGCGGCGAAGAGCGCCGAGATGGAGCCCCTCCGAGGTTGCTGCTCGTCGTCAGAGCTCGACATCTGGTTCTCGAGATCGAACTCCATTCCTGCTCCTTAAGTCGTCGTCTCTGCTACCCTGTCGATCTCAAAGTGAGAAGTAAAAGGTAAAGATGAAACCTTTAGAACGAGAGACGACCGAAGCGAGCTTTATAGGTGAAACCACGACGACAGAAAGAGAAAGAGAAGGTGAGAGAATGAACGGATAGACTTCTCCTTCACGCTTCTTCCAATGCTACAACAGAACAGGTGTGAGAAAGATCCTCTGTTGCGCTGTCTCTCCAAGTTCTCCTGTCGATTGGTGCTTCCTACTGCTATTAATCCTGATTTCCCTCTTTCGTTATGGGGACTAGAGAGAGAGGAGGAGGAGGAGGCTTTGCCATTGCCATAAGCATCTTTCCTTGGATTAAAGTTTCAGAAAAACCAAGAGAGAGAGAGAGAGAGAGAGAGAGAGAGAGAGAGAGAGAGAGAGAGAGAGAGAGAAGGTGGTGGCAGGGGAGAGGAACAGCGAGAGCTGCTGTGACAGGCGAACAGGTGTCGCTGCCTTACGGGAGCGAAGAAGTGGGGACGGCGGGGGCCGCAGGCGCAGTGGCAGCAGCGGCGCAGAGCAGCTGCAGCAGCAGAAGAAACAGAACAGAGTATTCGGTCTGACGCCTGTATTGTTCGACTTTGATTGCTCTTCTCTCTCTCTCTCTA